AAAAAAAAAAAAAAAAAAAAAGAGAAGGAAAGAAAGAAAACGGCAGACGTGGCAGTTTTTGAGTTGCAAAGGCCAAAAAAGCAAGCACCCGCAAAGATATTGGGTCTCGCTCCACTACTCTCGACTCACGAAAAATTTCGTGAGTACTTCTAGAGCTGTCAGAGGTCTAGAACTCATGAATAAAGTGGCGTCACTCCACTTACTCTAGACTGAAGAACTCTAGAAGAACTCACGAAATTATGACACCGTTTCCAGAGTAAGTGGAGCGACACCTATCACTCTCGAAAGGCAAAAAAAAATAAAAACAAATGACTGCATATGGCCACGTTTTAGCGGTGGATCGATTCCGGAGCCGAGCGTGAGTACTCACGATTTTCGTGTGCGCTTCTACAGCGCTACACGACAGCGCCAGCTCGCTCTGACGGTCGCGGCAAGAGGCACACTCACGAAAAAAGAGGCTGGAGCGGCGGCAGGAGGGAGGATGCTGGAAATCGTGAGGGTCGCAGGCTGTGAAGTCTGTACTACTCTAGAGTGCCCTTCGAGAGCGCCTCCTGACAGCTCTCGAAGGGTGTTTTCACGAGTTAAACTCTAGAGTAAGTGGAGCGAGGCGTTATTCTCAAAACTTCGAGAGTCTAGAGTAGTGGAGCGAGACCCATTGTGGTGTGAGTTTGAAACGGCAATTTGGGTAGAAAAGAGTCCGTTGGACACTTTTTTTTTCCCGTCTGACACCACGCCCGACCCCTATAGTTAACACACCCGGCCTGACACCGTGACCTTTGGTACTTCAATTGTTTTTTTTAACTGGGCGCCTGTTTCCTTGGTGGGCGCGTGTTTTTTTTGTTCATTCAACCAACTTGCTCCTAAAATAAAATTATTGCGAGTGCAAGTCTCTTGGGAGATGACTCGGTACAGTCCTAAATGGTTATAAAAGAGGAGGAGGAGGAGAAGGAGAAGGGAGGAGGAGGGTAAGGTGGGACTACTAGAGGTGCAGCATTTTTTTGTCATATCTAGTCAAAAGGAGATAAGGAGAGTCTGCGAACTGGTCATCCCTCCCATACCCAGCTCCCACTGTGAGTACATCAAATAATGTCTGAAACCCTCAAGTTGGCCAACCGTAGTGGCCAACAGGATCATTGCACCCCTTAAATACACCTCAACAAAACAGAATTCACGCAGTCCAGAAAAATAATTCAATACAGGGTACTGTTGTGTGAGTTGCATACTTTTTTTGTTTTTTTGTTAAACCGCCTTTCTGCTTGGGGAAGTGATGGGTTCATCTCCCCCTAGATGCCAGGGCAGGACCTGCTGCTCCAGTCTATTGGTGGGGAGTGGCACGCCGGCACCTGCTGGAAACCAGGTCCAGTCAAAGGCTGTTTCAAACAGGACCATTTTAGACTGAAAGAGGTTGTTTCAGACTGGATCACTGTGGGTCTTTGTCCAAAAAAGAGAGCAAGCTGGTCATCATCTGGGCCACTATGGCCAAAGAAGGTTCAGAACAGGTAGGTAGGTCATTGATCACAGTTCATGAAACCTAATTATACCCTGCCAGTGGGTGAAACATATCCATAAACTTACTTTTTTTCTTTTCTTTTTCTGGAAATTGGAACTGCTGAGGAGCAGTGGCAGGTAGGTAGTGTGAGGTGAAATTGAGAGAACCATGCAGAACACTTTCCAAAAACAAAAAAAAAGTGATAAAAGTTATAAAACATCATTGTTTAATTTTAGCCCTCTAAAAGTTGTTCGTTTATCCGGGGACTCTAGCAGTAGTGTCTGCACCTCTAGTGCCCATAGGGCCGTTTTTGTTTTTGTTTGGTACACACATATTGAAGCTGTTGATAAACAGAGCTTGGCCTCGAATCTTGATAGATAAAGTAACATGTGCCAGGGGTCAAATGCCCTTTGCTTTTTGTTTAGGGGTCAACCCCCTTACAGAACCCCAAATGACAAATGTGGGCATGGTGACACTTGTGAACTTGAGGTATCAGGCGGATCAAACTGCCAGTGCATCTTCGGATTTCTGACAGTTTTTCCATCGTGTGCAGTAACTCGTACAGTGTTCAGTTTGAGAAGTCGGAGTGTTTTGCTGAGCAGATTCATGCATCCAATGGGATCCTGGGCCTTGGTTTTTGGGGAGGTGGGCGTAGCCGCACTACCTTACCAATTCCGTTCGCTCAGAAAGTAGTCCGAATTTGTGCACATTTCACTTGGTGAGTACTCACCAAAAATGCACAAACTCCCCGGTGCCTGCAATTGATCCATTTGCTAGGAGCTCTGTGACAAACTGTTTTCTGCAACCGCGCGATTTCCTGCGCAAGGCTACTTCGGGGGTTGAATCGGGAGGTCCCGTTGGATTGCATGGGTGCCCTTGCTTTTCTTGTTTTTGGGATTGAGGCGGGCATGGTCCCATGACGGTTGGTAGTTGATCGCGCCTTAGCGAGCGCGAAGGATAATGGTTGCCATAGCTTCTTTCTTGTTCTGTTGTGGGAAATGGGAATTTTGGCGTGATCGTCGCGCGGGAAAATCCTTTGAATTTTCAACTGATATCGAGCTCCCGCGGGCTCTCGGAATTGTCTTCTCTCAGAATTTCTTTTTGTAATAGGATTTAGGCTAGGAATTTTGAGTTGAAAACCCGAAATTCGTAGGTGCCGAAATTTCGCCTCGCAGAGTTGTATTCTAGTACATTGTTTTTGCATTGATCGTGTTTGATATACTTGGATTTGGATGGTGGGTCTTTCTCTTTCCAGCTTACCCCTCCATTTTGGGGTCACATAGGTAGGGGTGACTGTCTTTTGGCTATGTGGGGTTAGTAGTTGGAAGGATATGATGCGTCCATCGTGATAAGTCTTGTCGGAGTGGAGATTAGGGGGACGGTTTATGTGGTCTGGGTATGTCAAGCACGACCAGTGCTCGAGGGGAGCCAAATATTTTGAAACCTTGGTTGCGGTGGTGGATTCAGCGGATCGTCCAACGGAGGGTTTCACCATCATATCCAAGAGTTCAAGGTTGGCCGATGCTAGAAAACCGCTGGCCGGAGCTGGGGTTTGGTTGCGCTGCCCTGTAACCTGAGCTATGTGGGGGTTTGAGACCTGGTTGAGAGATCTGGGGAATTGCTGAGGGTGTAAGGCAATCCAGTGGCTAACCGCGAGCTTCTACTAAGACTACACGGGTCGGAGCTGGGGTGGGTTGCGCTGGTATGTAACCCAACGGTCGGGGGTGTGAGGCCTGGTAGAGCTTGGTATCGAGGATAGGTGGGTTGAGGCACATGTAGGATGGTCGGTTGAATAACACAGGGGTACGTGGTTTTAATTAGATCCGGTTCCAAATTATCCTAATTGGTTTTTGACTTTTCAATTTTCACAAACAATTTTGTTGTTCTCGGTTGCTTTTGGTGGTCTTGAGAATGCTTTAGGATTCTGGGTACTTCTTGCAATTCACTTTAGGGTTCTTTGATGCTGTTATATTTATGGATTTGCGATTTTTTGATGCCAGAAGTCTTAGTTTGTTGTTTTTAGCAAGGGAGTTTCAACCTGTGATGTTGTGAGATCGGGGTCAGAGGTGTTGGAATGGATATCTCCTTTAGGGTTGGAGTCCCTCCCTGCGAGGGCTACACAAGGTGGGTGGTGTGATTTTTAAGAGGGTAGGGGCGGTATTGAGGGTTTGTCTTTTTTTGTGCCACGCCGAATTTAGGGTCGGATCAGCTATGCCGGTTGGGGAGAGAGGACAAGGGGTGCTGATGTCAGCAGGGTGAGAGTTGAGAGGGCTGTTCCGCTTGGAGGGGGTGGGGCGGGAAGGAAGGGGGATCTTCTGCTCTGCAGGGGCATACTTTAGGGGGTATTGTATGCGACTAAGGGAACAGGAGGGGTATTCTGGGGGCTGTTTTGAACTGGGATGGGGAGGTGAGGGGGTGCCTTTCCGCGGAGGCAGTAAATAAACAGGGGGTTCTTTTTTGGGGGAGAGGAGTAATCCCTTTGGCTCTTGTGACCCCTTTACATGTATCTGAGACCTCAATAGGCGCTGGAGTTTCCATGGGGAGAGAGGGTTGTTCTTTTCCCTCGCTTCCTCTTTCCCTGTGGGAATAGCGGGTGCTGGAATGTTCATATGATTTTTCGGGACTTTTTGTGCCTGATTTTCCTATTTTTTCTTAGTTGAAAATTCTTCCAAGGTTTGGTGTTGGAGGCAGGGGGCTGTGGTGGTTGTGACGGCGGGAGATGACGTGCTCTGAGGCCAAGGGGCTAGCCTGCAAGGTTGTAATACGGTACAACAGCGGTGGAGATGGTGGCTTCATCGTGGTAGGACTTGCCAGAGTAGGGTTCAGTGGGCTTGTTGGGGGGATATCTGCAACCACTGCATGAAGGGGACGAATAATGAGATCTACAACTATGGTGCTGATTGGTGGCTTAACTGCTATTTGCCTTAGTCCTGAGCCCTGGTGGCTTGCAAAAAGACGAGGCTAGAACGACGTTGGTCGGTGCTGGGGCTTGGTCGTGCTGCCCTGTAACTCGAGCTGTACGAGGGCATGAGACCTGGTAGAGAGATCTGGGGAATTGTCGAGGGTGGAAGGCACTCTAGTGTCTTTTGGTGAGTTGGTGCCTAGTCGACGCTGGCCGGAGCCGGGGCAGGTCGCTTTGCTCTGTGGCCTAGCAGGTGCGGGTTATTTTTGGGTGGGTTGTGTCACTCTGTAACCTAGCAGTTGGGGGCATGAGGCCTGGTAGAGATTGGGCATCAGGATATAGGGGTGAGGCGGGTAAGGGTTAGGCTGTTGAAAGGCCCTAAGGCAGGTGGTTTTTTTCCGAATGCTTCTTTGATCCGAACTTTGGGGGGTACAAAATTTCAGTGTTCTTCTTTAAAAAAAAAGTCAAAGCCGGGTAATAGCCCCAATATCTCAAGGATATCTTAAAAAAAGGTTTGTTTACAGGTGGTTCTGAGAATGCTTTAGGATTCTAGGGACTTCTAGCAACTCGTTGTAGGCTGTTTGATACTGGTACATTCGTGAATCTGCGGTTGTTTGATGTCAGAATGACGCTGGTCGGTGCTGGGGTGTCACCCTGTAACCTGCCGACTGCAGGAGTGTTAGGCCTGGTAGAGAGATCTGGGGATGCTTTGGGGTGGACATTCCAAGGGACAACCAAGGGTTTCTATTGGGACAACGCTGGCCGGAGCTGGGACGAGTCGTGTTGCTCTGTAACCTAGTCGGGTGGGAGTGTGAGGCCTGGGAGAGCTCGACATGGAATAAGACAGTGTTGGATAGTTTTAGAGAGTTTTGTTTGGGAGTCCAGGGGTTCTAAACAGTGTCGTACCCCTGTTCACCGTTCACGACCCTGGTGAACGCGGGCCGGTCACCGGTCACGAAAAACATGACCGGTCGTAGTTCACGGAGTTCACGCAGAGCGGGAACTCCGTTTTTTTTTTTTTTTTTGGCTGGTAGGGGGGGGTTTTTTTCGCATAGGTGTGTGGTCCATGTCAATGGGC